CAAATTCTACGTCAGCCTCCTGAGTATCTTTCTACGTCAGGTCAGCTCCTGAGTAGCTGGGATTACAGGAATGAGCCAATGCACCTGGCTCAAAACATACTCTTTTCTTTTTCTTTTTTTTTTTTTTTTGGTACAGGGGATCAAACTCCGGTCCTTGCGCTTGCGTAGCAGGCGGCGAAACCACTGAGCTAAATCCCCGGCCCAAAACGTACTCTTTTCTGTAATTTAAATTACTTGCAACATAAGTAACTTTCCAACTTATCATAAATATCATCTATTCTTCATACATCTATAAATTGTTTTCCTAAAACTCTACTTTTATTAGACTATAAATAACAATGAGCTTCCTCTGACTTAAAGCTAAGTATATAAAGCAGTAGTACCTGTTTATATTAAACTTGATGAAATTTTCTTCTCATATAAAAAGGATTTCCAAAGATGGAGCTAGAAGATTATTTTAATAACGTCAGTGAGTATTTACTGGAACATATGTTATAGGTTAGACAAATTATATCTGAAAATGTTTTGTCTGCATGAGAAACTTTACATCCCATGAGGGTTTATATGTGGCCTGGGGTCCTACTCAAGGAAAGGGAAAGTGAGGCTCCTGGAGAAGATCAACCTGGGAAAGATGTAGCCTGAGATGTCCATAAATTTATCAGGCTAGGCTGGGGATTTAGCTCAGTGGTTCAGGTGCCTGCCTTGCAAGCGCAAGGTCCAGAGTTTGATCCCTGGTACCAAAAAACAAAAACAAAAACAAATTTATCAAGCTAGAAAGCCAAAAAGGAGGAGATGAGGAGAAGACTTACAACCATGAGTAAAGTCACAAGGATGAACCACAAAAGCTTGGAGGCCTGAAGCAGGCATCACACTGAGAGGCGGGAGGAATTAGGTAGGCAGTGGGACTGATGACTATGAAAGTGAAAGATCAGAATGAAGAGGGGGACATTGAATAGAAACTGGTAAAAACTCTGTATTGGTGGAAATGTGTCATCCCATTTTGGATGAAAGAAATAACTTGAGGAAACATGTAGCTGTGAAGCCACAAAAAATATTGTTCATTTGACCAAAACTGGAGCTTTGATTTTAATTTTATCTCTGCCTACTTTGGTGTCTGCACCCAGAAGGCTCAGTGTATTTGGGGTAAAACCAATACCATGCTGATTGCTTTCATTTTTTATTCATGACCACGCACAACAAATGGATTCATGGTGGCAGCAATCGTATTTTAAGATCTGTTCCCATCCGAGGCAAGCCCTTCCACCAGCTCACTAGATCCCATCCTCTCACTGGCTCTGTGAGATTGTCCCAGGAATTCTCCCCTCTTCTGCTATACCTGCAGCTTTCCCCTTTCTATAGGACTTTCCTTCAGTGTGTAAATTTGATGTAATTTATCCTCTTTAAAAACAAAACCCGTGTTTCCTTGCAATCACCACTCCATTTTCTCCTGTCCTTTATTTTTAAAAAAATCTCCTTTCAAATATTTTTTAGTGCCAGGGGTAGTGGTGCACGCCTATAGTCCCAGTACACAGGAGGCTGAGGAAGGAAGATTGTCATAAGCTACAAAGTGAGACCCTGCATAATACACACACACACACACACAAACATAGTTGTTATTGTTGTTACTCTTCTTCTATTTTCTCTTGGATGTACTACAGTCAGGCATTTACCTCCATCATTCCATGGAAATAATTCTCATCATGGTCACCAAAAACCAACCCAATAGTCACTTCTCTCTCTCTCTCTCTCTCTCTCTCTCTCTCTCTCTCTGTCCCAGGGATCGAACTCAGGACCTTGCACTTGCTTGCAAGGCAGGTGTGACGCCACTGAGATAAATCCCTGGCCCCAGATAGTCATTTCTCTTGACTCATCAGTAGCGACTGATTCAATATTCTTTTTTTAATTGATTGATAAATTAACTTTTATTTTTTTGTGGTGCTAAGATTGAACCCAGGGCCTCATACATGCCAGCAAGTGCTCTACAAATGAGCTACATCTCCAGGTCTTTCTTTCTTGTTTATTTATTTAAGGCAGAGTCTTGTAGTTTTCCCAGGCCGAGAAGTTGCATGTCTCACACTGGGGTTTACTCAGTTTGTTTGTTTCCTTCTCTTTTCTTTTCTTTCCTTGAAACAAGGTCTTGCTATGTAGTCCCAGTTGGCCTGAAACTCATTATGATCCTCCTGCCTCAATCTCCCAAGTACTGGGATTACAGGCATGCACCACTACACCCGGCTCAATATATATTGTCCAGGCTGGTCTGTGCATCACTCCTCCCACCTCAGCCTCCTAAGTGCTGGGATTACAGACATGTGCCACCACACCTGGCTCAATATTCTTAAAGTACCTTTTCCTCTTGTCTTCTCAGACACTACCTCTCCTTTTATCCCTTCTACTTTATTGGCTACCTTCTCTCAGCCTGTTTATTTCTCTTTTCTTCAACCTACAATTGGGCCCTACTGGAGACTCAATCTTTGAATCACATCTTTTCTACCTATACTCTCTTTTTATTGATCCCATTCAATTTCATGGCTTTAAATATACTGAGCATAAGATCCCATTTTTATTTTTTATTTATTTATTTATTTTTGGTTTTTGGTACTGGGGATCGAACTTAGCTCCTTGTACTTGCAAGGCAGGTGGCAGAACCACTGAGCTAAATCCCTGGCCCATGATCCCATTTTTAAATAAACAATTAAACTCTATGTATTCATACACTCAGAAAAAAAAGAGACCAAAATATCAATAGTGATTATCATTTGGTGATGAGATTACACCTGACTTTAATCACAGTACATTCCTGTAGTCACATTTTATAAAATTAATACATAATGTTTCTGCAATCAGATTTTAAGAAGGAGCATGGTTACAAAGGTGCAGAGAAACTTGCCCAATAAATTTCAAAACCACCCTTCCCACTCTAGCATCAGAACAGTTTGGAAATGAATCCAAAGCATGCAGAGTTGGAGCAATTCCTTAAGGGTGGGAGAGAAAAGGCCTTGGTAAACAGAAACTGTGCCAACTTGCCTGCGTTGTCCAGGATGAGATCTATTTAAATTTCCCAGGCTCCAAGTAACTGAGAGTCATGGGCATTCTTTTTTTTTTTTTTGGTACCAGGGGTCGAACTTGGGACCTTGCGGTTTCGAGGCAGGCACTGAACCACTGAGCTAAATCCCCGGCCCTGACATTCTTGAAGAAAGGACAATGGGAGAGGCGGAGGCGCTAAGATCCCAATTCTTGAATGTTAGTCTTTGAAATTTTCTTTGAAGTAGTGTGAAAAGTCACTGGATAAAAGAATATCTATGTGTAATAAACTTAATAAAACAAATGCCTTGAATCCACAATTTGACTTAGTCACTAAACATTACCAATACTATTTTGCCTCCTTCCCCAGAGAGAAGAAACACTAATCTGAATGTTATTTTTTGTTTTGTTTTGAGACAGGGTTTTGGTATGTAGTTCAGGCTGGCCTTGAACTCCCTACGTAGTGCAAGCTGGCCTTGAAGTCACGATGATCCTCTTGCCTCAGCCTTCTGAGTGCTGGGATTACAGGTGTGTGCCAGCATATTCAGCCATTTTTTATTATTTATTTTGAGACAGTCTTACACTAGAGTGTGTTACATTGTTTTGGTTCTATTTTTGGCTTTTGGGTTTTTTTTTGAGACAGGGTATCACTCTGTAGTTCAGCCTGGCTTTGAACTCACTATGTAGCCCACTATGTGGCCTCAAATTCACAGTGATCCTCCTGCTTCAGCCTTCCAAGTGGAGTGTACTGAATTTTGTAATTTCAAATGACAGACTTTATAGTCATGAGAGACTTACTTTTGTAATTTTGCTTTTCATTTTACTACCAGTGTGACTTTGGACCAATCATACTTTCTTCACCCTTTAAATGGGCCTAATAATGGCTGCCTCATGCAAAAGTGTATAACATTTTTGCTGACATATTGTAAAAGCTGAAAATGTTATTGTCCTTCCTCTTAGCAAAGCATTTGATACAAATGAACCCCCCTAAAATGTCTGTGGGTGAATGAGTGAACATATGAAACACTCTTGTTTTCTTGCTTGGCTTGGTGTTCACTTGTCTTTTTTGGGGGGGTTATCTGGGATTGAACTTGGAACCTTGCGCTTGCAAGGCAGGTGGTGAAACCACTGAGCTAAATCCCTGGCCCAGCATTCACTTGTAAATGAGGACAAAAATAGAGTTGTGGTGAAGACTAAGTGAAACAATAGATGAAAAATGCTTCTAGTGTCCAGCCACGGTAAGTGCTTTAAAAACATAAAGCCACTGTTAGAGTGGCAATCCTATGGACCAGTATATTAGATCTCTTTCAAGAGAATGGATAGGATAGATTTCTCTCTATTTAGGTACCTCTCACAAGGTGTATCACTCGGTTCTATATTAGAGTCAGCTTGCAATTAATAGTCCCTGAGTAAGAAAACTGCAAGATCCATTAATAGAACACAACAGCCTGCAGAATTCCAAAGCGCCTTGTGAGAGAGAGACAGAGAGGGAGAGAGAGAGAGAGAGAATGGAATGTTCCAACAAATTAATAATATTGTCAAGGGTCAAATTCTAAGAACTGAAACCAATTATGGAAGCTTCTAGCCAATGCTTCAGAATCAGCATCCCAAACTGAAACCAATTATGGAAGCTTCTAGCCAATGCTTCAGAATCAGCATCCCAAACACAGTAACAATTACAAGGTCATTCTGAGACAAATCAAGTCATGAAATGAAGGAAGGAATGGAGGAAGAAAGGAGGGAACAGAAGAAGGGAGAGAAGGAAAGAAGGAAGAAAACCAAAATAAACATTCATAGTATCTCAAAAAGCTTTGGTTTCAGTATTCCTACTCCTCCACATTTCCACTTTTCTTAAATGTCCAGCCTAACAAATGTATGGAATGGAATTGAAAGGGTGTTAAATGGGTGGATCCCTGTGGCAATGTCGTTGTAAACACTCCCTGTGAGTCAGCTATAAATTCAATTCAAATCCCCAGTCTCCTTGTTTTCCTTGCTTATCATGGTTACCACCAAAATGACTGCTGCCTTTGGAAACCCTAAAGGGAAACAGGTAAAGTTCTAAAATAATGTTTGATTTTGTATTAAAGCTTATAAAAATGTAAATGCTGCAACAGGAAATATTTTGTAATTGAATTAGGATGTGTATACCTTGCTCAATCTTTAAAACACAGGAACAGCTTGTGAGCATTTCTTCAATTTTATTTTAAGTATGTTATCTCATTGTATTGTGGCCATTTGAATGATAATCAAGAATTTATGGAGCATGAGGCCTAATTTCACACCCACAAGAAAGGTATTTTAGTAATTAGCTTCTGGTAATACAACAGTTTCTCTCCTGGCTGTAATTAGTTTCTGTTATCTTTTTTTTTTTTTAACGTATGTTTACAGAGGAGGCCTCGATTGTCTATATGGGTTTCAAGTTTCTCATATGGAAAAAAGATTGCCCAAGAAAAATGACTGGTTACCATAGTATTTCTTCACAAATTGTAGTTGGTGGCAGTGCTGATGGTTGTGTGGACTTTCAGTGATGATTTCGTTGGTGTTGCTTCCTGATTGTGTTTAGAAGCACAAAGGATTAATAAGGCAGGATTAAGTTTATTGTGAAGCAACACTTTCCTAATGTAGTTTCATTTTCTTTTTCTTTTTCTCTTTTTTTTTTGTGGAAGTGGGAGCAGCGTTCTACTTGACATTAACTAAAGGTCATACCTGGCTTTACTGTTAGTTGGCCATTTCACATAAAATGAAAACACATCTTGCAACACATTATTGGGGACTCTTATCCTTAACTGGCTGATGAAGAAACTGAAATTTATAGAGGTTTAAAGTCAGTTGACTAGTAGGTGGCAGAGTCAGGATTTTTAAGTTTAGGATTTTCAAATTAGCCTATTTTATTTTTGCCCATAGGTGCTTTATGACCTTGGAAATAGCAATTACAATAGCTCTAATTTGTTGAATGTTTATATGTCTTGTATATATTCACCATTTAATTATCACTACAATGCTTAAGTAGATATTATTATTTCTGGTTTACGGATGAGAAGATTGGGAATTTAAAGGGGTTAAACCTTTTGGGCAAGTACAACTTGCAATTTCAGATTACAGTCTCACCATTTGCACTAATACAGCAGTCATTAGTTTCCAGAAAACTGGATGATTTAAGAAAAATTACTAATTCTAGTGGGACCAAATTTTATCTTGCTTTTTTAAAACAGATATTTCAGAAAATCAAGAAATGGATTTCTTTTAGGGGGTGGAGTAGAAACCAGCATGCTATTACTGTCCCATTTTGGTGGCACAATTTCAAAAGGTGTTGTTTGGGTTGATGGTATTAATGTCTAATATCATATATAGAAGTGATGTATAAACTCTAGAGCCACAAAGCTTATAATTTACCACAACCATAGCAAATTTAGTCTCTATATGTGCCCAAGTGCCAAGAGATATACCTCTTAACAATTTGTTCTTTCCTAAAATGGAGGTGAGTGTCTTGCAAACAATGGATAAAGGTAAAAGGTGTGAGTCTAAAGCCATTCTTTTTTTTTTTGGTTAAATTCTTTTATTGGTACATTTTAGGTATACAATACATTTACATTTATCATTGGGAACTTGTACCTGTACATGAT